CGTGCAGCCCACACCGAACTGAGGGCAGCTCGCGGCCAAATCCATCGACTGGAGAGTGACACCACAGCCTAGAAAAACGTCATCGAGTTACTAATGGCAGAAAAAGAGGAGCTGATGCGCGAAAGAGACGAGCTGAGGGGTGAGGTGAACGCCCTCAGGGCAGATAAGGGGGCCTTGGAGCTTGAGGTGAATGGCCTCAAAGAGGACAAGGGAATCTTAGAGCACGAGGTGGAGTTTCTCAAGGCTTATATTGAGGAAAAGATCGAGATCTTCACCTAGGGGATAGAGGAGGCTAAGGTCAAGGCTGTCATGGACTACATCGACTCAAAGAAGTTCGATAACATGATGGGGGAGGCCTATCGCAAGGGCTTCAAACTTAGCAGGTGGTTGATAAGGCATACGTACCCCGAGCTCGATACAAGTGCCATCACCACCTTGCAGATCACAGATGATATAGCCCGCTAGGCCATAGAAGACCGGGACTCTGAAGAGGAGGGTGGCGACGAAGAGACAGATGCCACCAACCTGGCTAAAGCTCCCGAGTAGGTCCCGAGCAAAGATGACGAGTCCCCAAAGTAGCTTATGTATATAGCCTTTGTACTTCGAGCCTGCGAGATCAGTTTTAGTTCCTCTTTTTTTTTTTTTTTTTTTTGCTGAGCTCATTGTACAGAACTCCTACTAATGAAAGTCCCTCTTTTTGCAAAGTGTTGTGTACTTCTATTCTTTTACCGAAGTGACTGTCTATCCAAACTGTTAGAGTTAAATGATCGGAGTAGGGTTTCTCAACTATTATCACCCCGAACTATTCCCCAGTACTTAGTAGGGTTGATTTCACAACATACACCGAGGTGAACAAATAGTAGGGCATATGCCGGACCTGTCTATGCCTGGGTTACTTTATGTTGGTTGTCCTAAGTAGGTCCAACTTGTGTGCTAGGGCAGGCTTTGTGTCGTAGGGTTCACACCCAAGCTGCTTGCGTCTATGGCATACTAAGCCCGTGCCGTTAAGGTGGTTAAGTCATGTATAGCGCCAAGGTCCTTAGCTCGGCACTCTAGCCCTTAGGCTGGGGGAGCAACTTATAGTTCACTCCCCTAGGGTCTGCCCATGCCGAAGAGGTTACTGGGTCTTGTGATAACGAGGTCGTCGTTAGCTCGACATATTGGCCCTTGGGCTCTAGGAGCGACTTGTAGTCCACTCTGAGGATTACTGGTAATATTGCCTTAGGTTGACAATATTCCATGCTCGAGGTACCTGTTTGCCCTCTAAGGTTTTGAGCTCGTACATACCTTCCCTGAGCACTTGCTTTACTCAGTAGGGTCCTTCCCAATTCGGGTCGAGCTTACCAGCACCGGGCTCAGGCACCATAACCTTACGAAGGACCAGGTCTCCGGTGCAGAGGTTCTACTTTTTGACCCTAGTGTTATAGTACCGAGCTACTCTCTGCTGGTAGGCCGCACTCCTAATGTATGCAAGGTCCCGTATCTCGTCAAGTAGGTTGAGGTTGGTGTGTAGCTCGTCTTCATTTTCCTTGTCATCGTATGCTTCTAGATGTAGTGTAGGAACCTCGATCTCGGCTCAGGAACCTTGACCTCGATCTCGGCTCAGGCACCATTTTCCTTGTCATCGTATGCTCCTAATTGCTTCTGTGCCATAAGTGAGGTTAAAGGGGGTCTTGCCTGTTATAGACTTCACTGTGGTCTGATAAGCCCATAGAACACTGGGTAGCTCGTCTGCCCATAGTCCTTTAGCTCGGTCCAGGCATGCCTTCAGTCCGCGGAGGATGGCTGATTCATGAATTTCGCTTGGCCGTTTGCTTGAGGATGCGCTACCGAGGTGAAATTCTGTTGTATCCCCATGTCTTTGCACCAATTTTGGAACTTGATGTCCTCAAACTACTTACCATTGTCAGAAATCAGTACCCGGGGTAGTCCAAAGTGGCATACTATACTCTTCCAGAAGAAGTTTTGCACATTCCGAGTTGTAATCGTCGCGAGAGGTTCGGCTTCCACCCACTTAGTAAAATAGTCGACTGCCACCACTAAGAGCCTTCTCTGCCCTGTTGCTGGTGGGAATGGTCCGAGTATGTCGATCCTCCATTGTGCAAAGGGCCACAGGCTGGTAAGATATTTTAGGTCGGTGGCAGGCTGGTGGTGGATGTTGGCATGCTTCTAACACTTGTCACATCTTCTGATGAGCTTGACTGCATCCGCCTTCATTGTTGGCCAGTAATACCCCTGTCGTAGTGCTTTCTGAATGAGAGCCCTGCCCCCTAGGTGTCCGCCTCACAGGCCTTCATGAGTATCGCGGAGAACGAGCTCGGCTTCAGAAGGTCGCAAGCAGCGCAGGTAGGAGAGCGTGTAAGATCTTCGGTACAGCCGTTCGTCTACCATGACTTATTTGGATGCCTGACGCTCTACCCTTCTGGCAGCATTACGATCTGCAGGGAGTTAGGTTTTGAGGAGATAAAAAGTTTTGGACCAAAATTTGTGTCGTTAAACAAGAGAGGAGTAGGTCATGTTAAGGAAGTTATTGACAAAGGGCTTAGTGATGTTACTGAGAGGAATTGATTTAAAGATGCATTGGTTTGTCACATCTGCTCCAACGGCTCCAATCATATTCCCATTACTCTATGTTTGGATGCAGTCATTTATAGAAAAGTCACCCCTTTAGATTTGAGGAAATGCAGTTAACCATGAAAATTGTTCTAGGGTGATCAAGGAAGTGTTGAAGAAAAACCAAAGTGGAGATAACCCGTTAACTCTAAAAGGAAAGAGTATTGTTTTGCAAAGAACTCTCCAAAAAATGGTATAAGGAAGGCTTTGGCTAGTTCAAAGGAAAATTCAAGAGCTGAAAGATAGACTTCTTTGGATTTGCTAAAGAAAAGATGGGTAAGTATAATCCCAATGAAATCAAAAAAATTGAAAAGGGTCTTGATAAATATAGGAAAGGGAGGAGATCTTGTTATCCAAGGAAATAAGAAATAGATGGCTTAATTGGGGAGACAAAAATACTAATTTTTTCCACTAAACTTCCCTAAGAAGAAGAGCCAGTAACAAGATTTTAAAGATTAATGATAAGAATGGGAATTGGGTTGAGGGTCCCCAAGAT